ATCGAGATTGAAACGGTCGATGGAGGTTGCACCAAGGCGAACGGGGTATAAGGCTCTAGTTTAGTAGTGTTACAGAGTATAATACGTATATTTTAATATATTTTTTAAAAGAAACAAAACCACTGAAAAATATTACGTGTGTTTAACAACGGGTTCGGAAAACTTTGAAAATGTTAACAACGGGTTCGGCCGAACCTGTGCGAACCCGCTGAATATCACCACTGCACTTACCTAAGATAGTGTAGATTAAAATTTTTATTTGTCGAGTATGAATGAAGGACACTCGTCCCTTGTTTTTGTCACCTGTTCACAACCTTCCCCGCGCCTACTCCACACGAATAGCCGCACGCGATACTTCTAACACACAAGTAGCGATCCACGGTACACACAACCTGAATAGCACACAGTCTCGTGCAGTTGTTGAGTACAACCACCACCTCAACTCCATTTACAGAGAGATTGCCTCCCATACGACATCGTTAATAAAAGGCACACCATCGCCCTATCCACATATGCCACTGACCCGGCATAAGAGCTGGCCTACATGAGGCCAACTGATCAAACTGTCTCACCGTGTGGAACACCTACGAAACCTGGAGGCACTTGAAATTTATAAAGCTGGGTTACGTACCAATTGCATTAACTCTAATGATGCCATCAATGTGATGCAAGCTTGGAAGTAGTACTGCTATGAAGGAACGCGCAACGCCCACACCAGCAGTTAGAAACTACACCCCCATTTGGCTTATTTATATGTATTTATATCAGTGTATGCATTACATATACCATTCCATCGCTATGGCAACGCACATGCATAACTGTTTATTGTTTTAAAATCCGTTTGTGCTGTTCCATTTTTTGAAAATAATTTCATAATTTTTGTTCTACGCATTCACTTGTTCGAATCTCACTGGTTTTTTAAACCTGAAGAAGACCGAAAGCACGGTCGAAAGCGTTTGTTTTGTATTAAATATTTACTACTGGACTTTTAAGGTTTATGAGTGTTAATTTATATGCGTTCCAGTATTCACGTGAGGGCCGGATGGCCGAGCGGTCAAGGTGGCAGCCCACCGCTCTGGGGGACCCGGGTTCGAATCCGAACTAGGAATTTTTCGGGGGTGGTCCGTTCGGATATGTCGGGCCCCGTCCCTCACCACCCGGCAGCCCCATTGTGGGTCTGGCCGAATGGGCTTGCAAAAAGAGGCCCTCTTAGTGCCCACAGGGCGGAAAGAGTTTAAAAAAAAAAGTATTCACGTAAGAACAGTGGAGTAGCATGGGTGTCAGAAGAGTTAAAAAAAAAAAGTATTCACGTAAGAACAGTGGAGTAGCATGGGTGTCAGCCGCCCCCTTATTTAGGTATCTTAATTTAAAAAACTAAAATCCAGTTCCATCACAGAATATCAATTTAAAAGACTAAAATCCAGTTTCATCACAGAATATCAATTTAAAAGACTAAAATCCAGTTTCGTCACAGAATAAGTAATGAAAAATTCCGTGCTCATTTCAATCGGTCTGAATCGTAGGTGCTACAAAAATATGAAATGAAATGGTTCAAATTTTTATAAGATATTATTATTATGTATTGTAAAATTGTGCCGCCCGGGGCGGGCTACGCCACTGCGTAAGAAGATTTTTTGAATAAAACAAATTAGATATATTACATATAGTGACCCAAAAAAACATTTTATTTAATAAGACTACATCAAACAAAAGAAAATATTTACACTGAAAAAAAATATTTAAACGGTATAAACTGTTGAAAAAATACCATGCTAGTCTTAAAATTAAAACATAATTTGAAATAAATGCAAAATTATACATAGAAATGTAAGATTTAACTATTTACTCGTATACAATATTTTTGAAAATAGAAGAAATTTACATTTTATATTGAGTAAATATGCATTTCAGCTTATGAAACTCGGGACTTACACTTGCATTGCGTTATAACGATGTTGAGCTGTATAGAGGAAAAGGTGGTATTATGGAACACTGCGGGTATTATGGAACACTGCGGGTATTATGGAACCACTCCATTTCGAACTAATAATAAAGGCGAACTGTAGCGGATTGTGGCTGAACTGAACTAGGCAGACATCCATAGCAAGGGGAAAACCCGTTTCACTTCAGTTAAACGGTTGTCCGTAGTGAATCAGCAAATTTGTGTTTTTCAAAATTTGAAAGTTTTGAATACTAAGTAAATTTAATTATTTTTAAAATATAAATCGTGTAGTTGTAGGTTCACTGGTGCATTTATTCCGTTCCAGAGACTTAGGAGTGCATATTAATCTGTGTGATGTTCACGTTTTTTAAATTTTGGTCTTGACAGACATAAATTAATGGGGATTCCATTGGTGCTTTTAATATGGAACCCAATTTCTCCAAACTCTCTATTTGCAAGCAGACATTCGTCCGGAGCAATTTGTGAAAAAGACACTAGGTAGAAAGTCAATTCTTCCTGAGAGTATCGAAAAAGCTGCTATTGTTGATGGAGGTCATATTTTTCTATTATAAAAGCATTTTTGCGATAAAATACGAGTAAATAACTTTGTAATTATTTAACATTTTTTGTACTTTCCTATTTGTTTTTGGATACATTAACGCATTTTTTGAAAATATACAGTAAGGTTCCATATTACCCTCCGGTTTTCCCTAAGCCTACTTTCTGACTTTTTGTACAAAAGCCTTCAAAAACCATACTTATAGTTACACTAGCGAAAAATCCAATTAGGAACATTTAGTTTAATAGTTACCAGTACTTTTCGCACAAAAAATGTGAGGTTATGATACCTTGTTTACAATTCACTAAAATGAAAATGGGGTTCCATAATACCACCTTCTCCTCTATATACTGTAGTTCATTTAACACCTCCGAATAATTTTCTTTATAGTTTAGATGACTTTTTTATTATCTGTGTTTTCTAGTTATCCATGCACGAATTAGCACGGATAATCGGTAGTTCGGTGTAGTTGCTAACGCGCAGAAGTACCGTACATTTTATGTTTTTTTTTACAAACTTTTAAATTTTTCATTAAATTTAAATTTGTTGTAGTAAATAATAAAATTAAACCGCTAAATATGTACTTTTTCACTCTTTTTGTTCTACGAATACTAAAAGCATGGACTAAATACGTACTATGAAGATCAAATATGCAATCCCAAAATAATTCCAGGTCTTTACTAAACGCTATGTCTGCCATTTTCCTGACAAAAATATGGTTTTTCTCCTAAGTAAGAAATAGGTTAAATAACAATATGGAATTTTTAAAAATGTAATTGAATATTATCAGTGTAGTTAGGTTCGAGATAAGATGGAAAATAACATTATAATATCCACAATTACAAATTACATGCTATGAGGGTACTGGTAGAATAGTCCTAAAACATCGATGACCGGATGGCCGAGCGGTCAAGATGGCACTTACCGCTCTGGGGATCCGGGATAGAATCCGGACGGGTCGAAAAATCCCCAGGAATTTTTCGGAGGTGGTCCGACCGAATACGTCGGCCCCCGTCCCTCATCATCCGGTCGCCCCATTGTGAGCCTGGCCGAACCCATAATGGGATTGCTTAAAGAGGCTCTCTTAGTGCCCACAGGGCAGAAAGAATTAAAAAAAAAAATCTATGAATGCTAACCAGCGTGTTCTTAGATGAGATTGGAAATATATCTCCGATTTTTCTTCTTCTATGTTGATATGGAAAGTCTAACACTCATTACGCTCTTTCTCCGACGAGCAGTCACTCATTGGTATATCTCTGATTCAATCTACTGTCGTTCTTAAATGAGTTTTATATCGTAGATATAGATCTGTTTAATTATTTTTAGAAACATGTATGGAACAAATATAAATAACACCCAAATAATGAATGAAGAATATAAATTAATATTAAAAAAAAAGTTTAAGATTTTACGATATGAAATTCAATCAACGAACTGGCAACGTGTTCTGGTAATGGTAAAAACGTGGGTTACATATTTTTGTATATGTAATGAAATCAATTGTATTTTCACATTAATTCTGTTAAAAGGAGTTTTACGTCGATATATTTTTATATTTACTGAAGTTAAGATGAAGGATCAGAATTCGAAAGAAACAATAGATAATGTAGAAGTAAGTTTTGTATGATATTACTGCGTTGTATATAGTTATTACTAAGTTAAGAAATATGGTGTTTTATACCCTATTTTTATTTTTTATTTTTTCTAATATCGATTACTGTATTTTTTGTAATGAAAATATTGGTGAAATACCGTTTAAGCATTGTGATCAAACGTATTATTTGGAATTATTCATTAAAAATTATTTCTAAGTGACAGCTTAACATGTTACTTTTGCTTTCCAAACTTCAAACTGATAAGGCTACCAGCACCTGCCTTAATTAGTAAGTAAAACTGATGGCAATAAGTAATTTGAAGTGGCAAAAAAATATTTTAAACTGGTGAAATGGTGACTTCATCAATTCAACCAAACTTTTTTCTATCTAAATAATTCTGTAAAGATCTAAACAAATAATAATCTGAGGGTGCCAAGTCTGGAGAATATGGTGGATGAGGCAAAATTTCCCACTGCAATTTTCTTATTTTTTCTATGGTTACTTCATCAATATGTGGTCTTGCATTGTCATGATGCAGAATTTGCCTTGCAATTTACTAGTGCCAGTCTTTTGTCCTATAATATTTTGTTTAAACGATTAATTGTTCACAATATGTGTTGGCATTTATGGTTTGGTTCAGATCTAGTAGTTCATAATACACTATTCCCTTCACATTCCACTATATGCACAACATTACTTTTCTTGGTGTGGATGTTGAGGGCTCTATTGGATCTAGTCATGATCATTTCCATTTAATATTAGTATGTAATAACCATTTTTCATCTCTAGTAATTACTTGGTCTAAAGATGGATTTTTCTTTTGATGATTGAATAATAATACAGCAATACTTAATCATTGTGCAAGATCAGTTTCCATTAACTCACGTGGAACCTACACATCTAACTTAAGAACTTTTCCAAGCCTTTTAAGATGCTGACCACTTACGGTGTGTAGATGATGAAAAACAAATGTTTTCTAACTCATATACTCCAGGTGTGGCCAAACTTTTATCCCTTAGGGGCTACTTTTTTGGTAAAATATAGTCTGCGGGCGACTATGAATATGGGCAAACAATTTTAGGATTTTTATATGCGCATTCGTTAACATTCATTTGCATTGTTCATCAGGATAAATACAAACGGTATGGGTACGTTGCACAGACAGTCTATTATTATAAGAATAAATTATCGAATTAAGATTTTTAAACATTAATTTAAATGAAAGAAAATTGTTCAACTTTAGCTTCGCGGGCTACTTTCAAAACCTTTGCGGTCGACCACAGTCTACTTGTTGGCCATCCCTGCTGTATACCAACAATGATAGTCAATATAAAAAAATTTCCTTTTTAAATTTTTTGTAAATTCTTGTTTATATTTAGTCTTTATTTTGTGTTACAGAATTTATGTTATTTTATATCACATTATGTACATTTGTGCATTATTTATGTATTGAGCATTTTCAAATAATTTTAAATTGTTCCTTTTCTTGCATTCCATTTTGGAACACATTAACTTGAAGAATATCTCCTATGTAGATTGAAAATGTTTGTATTTTATTTGCATTAAACTATACTGGAATCACCCACAGCATTCTCAGCAAAGAGACTAAAACACATCAAATCACTATACCACCTAATGTTTGCTGAGCAAAAAGTTTTTATTGAACTAATGTTATAAAGTGGGAGGTAGTGAATGTCATTAGAACAGTGAACTCTTCATTCATTGCATTGGATATGGAACAAGTAGAAATTTACAAAAGCAAAGTAAAAAAATGGTGCCAAAATGCTAGGGATGATAATGCACTTCCAACAGTGGAAATATATAATAGAAAAAAGAATGGGACTTAAAAGTCCTTAAATCATGTATTCCTTGTGGTTAACATGATGTTTACTATGTATTTTTATTTATTATCTTCCAATATGTGCAGTTCTAATAATTTGTTTAAAAATTTTTTGAATTTAAAATGTTATACATTCAAAAATGGTACATTCCATTTTTTAACATTTACATTGTATTCTAACATCTGAGGATGATCGATACTAAAATGATGTTGAAAACTTTAGTGTAATAAAAACTTTTTACTCAGCAAACATTAGGTGATATAATGATTTGATGTGTTCTATACTAGAATTTCATTTATAAGGTTGACATACTTTATGACATACTTTTATAACATACTTTATTCCAATCTTAGTGTTTGAACTATTTATTTTGCAGTTAAATTTGCAAAGATGGGTAATATAAGCATAAAAGTATTTGAAAAAAAGATTTAAAAAGGCATTTTATTTGAATTCTAGGATTCAAATAAAATAGTTTTTCCAAAAATATATTTGATTTATAGAAAAATTGTGTGTAAAAAAAAATAAAATAAAAGAATTATAAATCTTTCAACAATGATCACTTAATTTTTCTAAGTGAATGATTTACATGAGGAAAAATAATAAGATGAAGTAATTGAATGCTGTTTCTAGAATTAAAAACATCATTTAATCAAATTATCATCTTTGCTCTTTCTATTGAATTCAGAAATACCTAATTTAGTTTTAGGTAATTTTAGATGTTCCATGTGAACATCATTCTCGTGTTTTTGTTGTTCAAGAGAGAGTAAAAATTTTCCATCTCTCCATTAATATTCATATTTAATCTGGCATTAATGCAGTCAGGTGTTTTAAGATTCCAGATGATTATTTGTTGATACACTGCTTTTATTGTTTTTACTCTTCTGTTGCTTTCCTAAAAATTACTATGCGTTTTTGATTCTAAAGTGACTTTTTTTGGTTTTTCCTGGTCTCAAAAATTGGGATGTGCATTAGAATCAGGCACAAAGTCAATTTAATGAATCTTTGTGTTGTTTACTCTTCATCTTGCTTGGCAATCTTCTCGTGTATTAAGTTATCAGTATAGACATGGTGTATGGTCCTTCCATTATTTGGTTTAAATTTTGGTTTGGTGGTTTTTTGCATTATGGCAAGTCGAGCAGTGTTCAGCAGACCCAATTTCCTTTAAAGTTATGTTTAAGCAGAGAGTTATCTTTTATTGTGCTGAAAAATAGATGTACAGATATTTTACTGCGATACTACAAATCTGGTAAATTTCATGCTGCATACTGATATAAAATCTTGTTGATAAAATGTTGATGCTATAGTAATTTTGACTGTGATTTTGTTTTGGTTTGCAGATTCTTTGTAGGCTACCTGATAATGAAATCGTAAATGAATACATTTGAAAATGTAGACATCATGAGGCATTGCAAACATGAAAATAAAATGCATTTCAAAAATGCATTTATTACTGTTTAAATTTACTTTTTACAATTGTATGTTTAATGATATAGGGACACATTACATTCACAAGAACTTTTTTCAGGTTTTTGATATTTCAAAAAATAATCATGCATTTGATGACATATTAGAATAAAAAAAAAAACATGGTAAATTATGCTAAATAATATTTTATTTTTGTTTGATACACTTATTATTATTGGTGTAAATAAACTTGTTGAGGTATTTTTGATCATTTTGTATCAAGTACAGTACACAACTTGATGACTTGAAACTTTTTCGGAATTGAACATTTTCAAAAAATTGATGTCATAGGACACCTGTGAAAATTTTTAAACTTTTAGTGAAAATTTACCACTTGTTTATGAATTTGACATAAAAAATACAAAAGTGAGTTTAATTGTAATATGAATAAATGAACCTAAATGCTAAAATTCATACTTTTCTCTCACTTTCCAGCAATTCACTGATTAAAAACAAATTTTTTTGTTTACTTTCAGTGGCCTGCTTCAGGTTAAGCAGAATTCTATATTCCTTCAAATTTAGAAGATAGTTCAAGCTTTAGAATTAACAAAAATAAATAAACTTTTAAAATCTTGCATCAGTTTTTAAAGATTATATATTATTGTTATTTTATCATTTTTGTTATATAATTTTATTTGATCAAATAGCCTATTGTTTCATTTCTCCTCATTTAATAGTTTTAGGTCTATAGCACAGAAGCTTGAAAAATTTTTGATATATTTTCCAAATTTTATAAAGTTAATTGAAGCAGTGAAACACCATGTAAAAGATCATGTAATATTCTCCTTTTGCAAGAATGCAAAAGGAGAATATTAGACTTTGTAGAAAATATTAAAGTTGAGGCACTGCCTCATATAAATGTTGTGGCAACTTCCCTGTTATGTAATAAATGATCTTTGTGTTTATGCTTCTCGTTTCTGCTAAAAAAAAGAGAGACAGGACAAAATTTGCCTTAACTAACATTCACCATACATTCTCGTTCTCGCCCTTTCTCGTGAGAGTTATGAGACCCATTTATTAATAATTTAAGTGGTTATAGTTGTAGAAAAAATGTATAAAAACTAGATAAAATTAAATTATGGAGTATTCAAACAATAATAAATTTATAAAACATAAATATGAAAAAATAACAAAAAAACATAATATCCGCGGGGTGGAGACATCCATCACCTCACCATCCATCCTGCCCACCTTGAAATCCCTAGATTTCAAGATTACTTGAGTTTTCAGGCAATCTACATATCTGATTGATGTTTCGAGTAAATATTCCATCCTTTGTTTTTATGTTGACAACTCTGACATGTCCATCCTTACCAGGGTGAGTTCTTATAATTCTGGCCAAAATCCACTTTGTAGGTGGTATATTCTTTTCTTTGACAAGAATTAAATCATTGTACTGTAGGTTTCTTCTTTTTTTCTGCCCATTTTGATCTATTTTGTAGTTGACTCAAGTCCAAATGCTATTTCCAAATGTCTTGCACCATAAGCTGGAGTGACTGCCATCAGGATAATTGATTCAGCTTGATATGCTGAAGATCAAGTTCTGGTAAAGAAGTTAGGGCTTCCTCAAGAAGGAAGTGCACTGGAGTTAATGCTGATAGTTTGTTTGGATCTTCACTGATTGGTGTCAGGGTTGCAAATTCAAACAAGCCTCAATTTGATAAAATAAAGTGGTTAATTCTTCATTTGATTGCCTATGATTTGTCTTATATACTTCTTAGCAGATTTGATATTTGATTCCCATAATCTGCCAAAATGTGGGGAATGAGGAAGAATAGTGCCAGTTTATACCTTGATTACAACTAGTTGAAATAACTTACTGTTTAGTACTGTCTTTATTCAAAAATTGCAGTAACTCCCAAATATTATTGTTAGCACCGACAAAATTTGTGCCATTGTCACTAAATATATCAGTGGGCTTACCTCTTCTTGAAATAAACCTTCTCAAAGCTGCTGTAAAAGCTGCAGTTGTCAAGTCACTTACGACTTCAAGATAGACTGCTTTTGTAGCTATGCAGATATATAATGCTAAATATGATTTCCAGTGTTTTGTTGTTCTTCCATGTGACACCTTAATAGAAAATGGTCCTGTGTAATCTATTCCAATCTTTGAAAAAGGTCGCAGTTGCTGAACACGATATTGTGGAAGGACACCCATTTGTTGACTTTCTTCCGAAGCTTGATCTCGAAAACAAGCCATACAATCTTTAGTATACAAGCGAAGATATAAAACAAACAAGAAATTGGTTGAGGGAAAATGATTTAGTCTTAACAAGAGCAGATAAAAGCAAGTACTTAGTTATTATGACAAGACAATTATACAATGAAGCTTTAGATGATAATAATATAAAAATGAAGTGTGAACAGGTTGATAGAAAAACTGTAGAGAACATTGATAGAAGAGTTAAAAAAACTTGTAGGAATCAAGCTTGCTTCAATATTAACTTTCCCTAAAGAATGTCATAACCCAAGACCAGGGATGCTAAGGTTATTTGCCTTGCTAAAATGCATAAGGAATGTAAAGAAGTTACACCAGTAGTAGAAAAATGCAGAGGCCTACATACATTTTGGAGAAATGCTTTTATAAGTTCAACAACAACAGACTATAAAATAGTATATTAGTGTTACAAGATCCAGGAAAGGTGGTTAGAGAGTTAAAATAACCTACTGTTAATGGAAGAAATTGGGACCATAATGGTCTTTGAGAACTTGTATGCTTTGATAAAAATAGAATCATGCTTTCAAGCACTAATGGAATTTTTTTAAAAACAGTTCTTATCCTACTTATATACAGGATGTGACAAGATAATTTAAAAGATCATTAACAACTATGTTTAACCTAATTACAAGTCCAAAAATATGTATTAGCACTATCTGGTAATTATGATGCAGATAGTAGGTATACAGTGGGTGATCGGTTAACATACAAATCAGATAACGAACAGTCTTGGAATGGATTATGTTTGTTAACCGATCACACACTGTATTTGGAAAATTATATCACAAGTTAATATACATTTTGATTCTACAGTTAATAGATGTTTGTTTACATCAGTAATATATTTACCAAAAATTGATAAACTACTTGGGAATGCTGTAGAAATAAACAGTGACAAATTTTGAAATAAAAATAATGTGAATTTAAGAATTGAACTTTTAAATGAAATTACAAAGATACAAAAACTGAAATTTAAATAATTTGTATTTGGAAGTTTGGATTGGAATAAAAAATTCTATGAAATTAGTTTTAGATCACATAAAATAACTGAGAAATTATGCACATATAGTAAATTTGTAAAATTTAACACAGTGTCAAGATAAAAATGAAGGAAAAAATTATAAAATATAAGTAATTTCACTCTATATCTGTGAAGCAATCATTGAAAACATAACACTTACTGGTATACATTTGTAAGGCACCATCTTATATTATTCATTAAAACATTGTTTTTCTATTACACTTCATTTTAGATGTAATTATAAATAAGTAAAGTAAAAAATGGAATACTAAGAAGGAACCTCCTAACTTCATATGTTGAAGATATTTGAAGGTACAAGTGCCTTCTAAATGACAAAATTTTTAAAATCATTTTATCATAAAACAGAAATAGTGATTATTTCTGTTTCATGTATAAAATAATAATAATATATAATAACAATAATAATAAATTGTTTCTTGAATTTGCTTCATGTCTGGTTGTTGTCTGTTTTATTAATGGCCATCAACATCTGTTGTAAATACTAGACTTATTATACAAAGAATAGGAAATATAGCCCAATTTGGAAATTATTTTGGAAATTTGGCAATTGGTTTATATTAATTGGGAATGCATTTCAGACCTTGTCCCTAATCAGCCCCTGTACAAGTTATACGCTGTAAGTAATTGTGCATCTTTTTAGACACATGAATATACAAACATAGATAAGAAATTTTACTTGCACATTTTGATGATGACTACCTTGTCCATTTTTGAAAAGTAACTGTTAACTTTTTAACCATACAACCATAGATGTATTTAAATTTAGATATAACCATACGTGGTTAATCACAGTGCTGGCTGGGGATGACTCCTATGCCCACAGCCTAAGTACAACTCCACAGTGGTGCTCAGCCAGCTAACATTTTACCTGACAAGATATATAAGTATATCAAACATTAAAATCAATTGTGACAATTTCTGAAATATCTCGGGAATTGTTACATGATATGATCAGTTAGATATTTTGACAAATTTTACTGAAACACTATTTTCCTTGTATATTGAATGTCTGTTTTTAATCTTTGCTCTATTTTTGATACACAACTTTTGATAAATCAATATTTTGAAAAAATGTTTTCTGTTTTTAATATTGAAAATTTTGTATCAGTATTTTTTAGCAATTACTACCGGTATTTAGAATTTGAAATCTACAAATCCTAAATATTGGTAGTAATTGCTAAAAAATACTGATACAAAATTTTCAATATTAAAAACAGAAAACATTTTTTCAAAATATTGATTTATCAAAAGTTGTTTTTATAAATTATAAGTTTTTAAGTATATAATTTAAAAAATGATAAAAATTATTTATTTTTGTTGATATTTCAAAGCATTTTATTTTGTACAAACATCGCTAAACCTGACATGTAATAAAGCTACACACCAACCGAATGCCGAAAATCTATACTAGCCTGATAGATTTTCGGCATTCGGTTGGTTTGTAATTTTATTTTGTTTAAAACTTATTGATTATATTAAAATATTTTGTTAAAATGTTCAATTAACTTACTTGTATAATTTTAATAGATCAAAGCATACATGAAAAAACTTGGATTTGTAGATAAGAAATTAGAAACAAAGTAAGTATGTTTTAAACAAAATCCATCTTATAAACAAAGCGTCGACAAATATATATATGTTTTAAATGTATGTTACTTGAATTACATTGACATATTTAGAATCTCTAAATATGTACCAGTTTTAAAAAAATTTTAAAGAGAGATTTTATATTTTACGAAATGTTAAAATAACAAAATCTACATACATAAACATCTTAAACTTAACATTATTAAATTAGAGTCAAACGATTGCCACACTGTATCAGACTATTTTTCTGCTACTATTAATAATTAAATTATTAAGTATTTGATATTAGAGGTAGGCATTAGTGCCATTTCTTATTTTTTATTATTATTAAATATAATAAAAAATGGTGCCTAATGCCTATCTCTAATATCAAATACTTAATAATTTAATTATTAATAGTAGCAGAAAAATAGCCTGCTACATTAAAGAAATCATTTGGCTCTAATAACAAAATTATAGGAATAATAGGAATTTTATATAGTGACTTATTAAACTGAAATGTCACTATACTATATTTATTTATATATCTGGAAAATTATCCTAGAATGCCCAATCAGGACAACTTGTCCCTGATTGGGCATTATAGGATAAAGAAAAGTCTGGGCATTCTAGTGTTAAATAAACTTAATACTTTCCCTAAATATTTTGTGCTAAAATAGTGGTGTAGCTTATTAGTCTGTGCATCTTATATGTTGTAAAATACAGTAATTTATGAGCAATATTTAAATTGTTTAAGGAACATAACAAAAAATATCTAAAAATTTGTCCAAATTTGTTTAATAAATATATAATATAATATGCCAAGTATAATATTCATATATAGTATAGGAAATACATTATTTTAAGATTGTACAAACATACAACACATCAAAAACTTATACAGAAAAAGAAAAACTTTTCAAGTCTTTCAAATGTGCTTTCATGATCACTGGAACACAATCAACACTGGTGGAGTTGATCTTCCTTTATAGCAGGGATCAACCTTTTTCTAAGTAAGGGCCACATTTTAACTGACATGGGCCACACACAAGAGAAAAAAGAAAAAATGTATATAAATTACAATTATTTATTCATGCATGATTATAAATTAACATAAGTATATTTAATTTGACATCTGGAACTGATGTGGATGTAATATATCTGGAATATTTGGTTGATTAGTCACTGCTAGTTTAAAATTAGTTTTGATGTGATTTGATAGCTAATTTTGTGTTTTAACTTGATACTAAATTTATTGCAGAAAAAACTGTTCACATACATAAGCTGTAGAAAATAATGATAGAATTTTTGCAGAATACTTACTTAAGGTAGGAATTTGATATACAGTTTAACCTGCTTATAACGTCATCCTTGGGACCGGCAATTTTTTGACATTATAACCGAGTGTCGTTATCTGCGGGGTCATAATTTCAGTCCCATAAAATATCAAGTCTGTTTAAGAATCTATTATAAAATTCATCTAATTTAATATCGTATGTATAAAAGTGCAAACTAAACATTTAAATCAACTTTATTTACATTATTATGTCTAAATTTACAACGATGTAATTAAAAATTTCAAAAATTATTTTTTATAAAAAATTTTTATTTGTCAAGTTTCGATAATGGCGGCACTTTCAGTTTTGAGAATAATGTCGAATCAAAAGGCAACAAAAAGTTAAATTAAGCAAGAAACGAGAAAATTATCATCCAGG